ATATCAACATTCAAAAGAATCTAAAATTTACTGCAATAAACATAAAGGGTGTTTGGTGAGGATTTTGAAAATTGATTTTTTGACTATTAAGAGGTAAAAGTGGGTCTTATCTGTGAAGAAAGAATTCAAAAATGATGGCTCGAATAGTAAAATAACGATCAAAATTTTAATCTTAATTGGCTTAAAATTCCGACCAAATACGCTCATAATGTAAATAAAGATGAAGAAACTCCCCAATTAGAACTAATTGATATTTATTGCATTAATCACATGGAGCTAATTGAACTCTTCAAAATTTTCCTTCAAATCTTAACTAAAATGTTATTTTAAAAAATTGCTGATTTGATAGGATTTGATGAGTCTCTAACAAACTAAAAGAAAAAATAAATAAAATTTAGGATAAAAATTTAAGAAAATATCAAAACTTAACTTCTATAATTTAATTTTTTTGTAATGATGAAATACTATAAATAAATAACATTTTTATACCACATTTGGTAATAGGAATTAATTGCTAATACGTCAATTTAAACGTCTATTAAAATTCTTAGATACGAAATAAATTTATTTATAATAACTCTGAATTCATGTAGATTAATATTCATCAAGTCAAGATTTGTTAATTAATTGAGAATTAATAGCACGAAATCACAAAAATTCTGTATTATTTATTATATATTGAAAACGAAAAGTAAGATAATATTGAAATAATTGGATTGTAATATAGTTAAAAATTAAAATTGTTTAAAAAGGTGAATGATATTTAGTGTCCGTGTTGACAATCATTAATTTACTTATTTTATGATTTGTTATAGAAGTTTTTTATTACACATTCACATAATAAAATATCCGTTTTTCTCTACTTTTTAATTACATGTTTTTTTTATAAAAATCACTATTCAAACTCTTTTTTCCTAAAATAATTGTTGTCAGATAGGCTCAATATATTACGGATTTACATATAAGTAAATTAAGTTAAAAATAAGTAATTTTCTCGGTCAAACATTCTTCAATTAATTTGTTCTGTACCAAAAATAAAGACTACGCTCCAGCCACTTCCCCTACAGCTCGCCGATGGAAAATTCAAGAAAAATGCATAAATAAACTGATAGAAAATAGAAATTCTGAAAAATTCTCAAGATTTAGAGGTCTCTAGTATGATAGTTATTCGGCGCTCAAAATAGGATTCCTGTATTTGGATCTCCTATAACAAAATCCAATCAATGATCTGAATTTTGCGTCAGCAAATTTCCAGGTAATTGGTATATATATATATATATATATATTTATTTATTTATTATTATTATTAAGCACAACTATCTGAATTATATCCAAACCATTTTGATTTTGAACCGTATTTTCCCAAAAGATAATTGCTTTTGGTTTTGATTTCAACTTGATTCAGTTATATATTGTCTTTCTATGTCTTTTAGCCGTACCAGTAAAGAAAAAGAACAAATATGACCCAACCATCTGTGGTTCTTGCTACTGCGAGCTATGATCACACCATTCGGTTCTGGGAGGCAAAAAGCGGGCGGTGCTATAGGACCATCCAGTATCCAGAATCTGTATGCTTCTCTAATTTTGGGTCTTTTAGTTTCTCAGCTTTTTTTTTCTCCTTTTTTTTTCTAAATATTATTTTTCCATGTTTTAATTGATGTTGTGGTTGAAGTGGTTGAAACATGTATATTATTACTCTCAAGGGTCAGTGAGTTTGATATTTTATGGTATATGATGATGTCGAATTTTATAAAATGTGATCCTAGATGTGTACGGATTATCTTTAGACCATACATTATGCAAGTTCAAAGTTAAATGTTTAATTTTGAGAAAATTGTTGGCTTTGGCTTTCAGTTTTTCATATCATTATAACAATCTATGTGCAGAATTAGCCACTTAATTAAGCTGCAAAAAATCTGAGATGGATGATGTTGATTATGGTTCATTGAGGAAAAGAATAGCCATGCATACAAAGCATTAATTTAGACTTAATTAAGTGGGAATTATTATTAGGACTAAACCTTGCTGCTTTTAGTGCTAAAAGTATGTGGTCTCATGAGAAAGAGCGTAGGCACTTATCTTATGCGTCTTGGGATGTACTGGATAGGCAACGGAATTTTTTGCGTTTTACCTTTTGTTGCTTCACATGTTTGCAACACATTGATGATGATAAACCATCCAGACTTCTTTCTATAAAAATCATGTCTGCATACCGCTTTTATTATGCCATTCTTTTGTGATAAAATTTTATATCCATTTGTGTTGGACTCATAATCACTTTGAAACAATCTCAAAAGGGTAAGAAAGAGTTCAATAGTAAAAGCTCCAAATCACAGTATTGGGATGGACCAAAAGCTCGACTTATAAACTCGGCCACGTTCCACCATCATTTGTAAACATCATCATTACACACTGAAAAGGTGTTCCCCAATGATGACATCACCTCCTAGTGGACCATTCTTGAAGGTATATATGTTACCTCTGACATCGACACCTCTCCATTCGCCAATCAGAATACATCAATGATCATGTAGGTGACACACCATCATGACCTAGACCATAACTATGACCTAGGCTGAATGATAACCTTCCCAGCTGAACGCAATGGCCAATCAAAAACCTTTAATTGGCCAGTGGCATGCATAACAAGGTCGATGCTGTAGGTGATGTGACAAGAGGCGGCAAACACTTGGTTGAAATATCCCCACCAAAAAAGTGTAACGAATCCAACAAGGTCTTCTATAAAATCACTCTTTTACAACATTCCAGCTATTATCCTGCTAAATGTACCTTAAGTTGATCTAATTTTTTTTTGTGTCATTTTCACTCAACAATCTGTTTTATAGGTAACGTACTTATGTGGTGATTAGTGAATACCATTGCTTCTTTATCTTGTACATTCATGAATATTGCATATCAAGATACCTCTTTATAGTTTTCTCATGAGTTATAGTGGAATCAATTAATAGGGTTTCCACTTGTATGAAATGTATGATTGTGTCCTTAGAACAGTAAACACAAGGATCATCTATGAAGATCGAGTATTTTCTTACTTAAATCTGATGCATCCACCTTTTTTTTGAGCAGCAAGTGAATCGGCTAGAGATTACGCCAGATAAATGCTACCTGGCTGCAGCAGGAAATCCTCATATTCGGTTATTTGACATTAATTCAAATAGCCCTCAGCCTGTACATTTGTGTCTCCTCTTCTGAGTTGTCTTTTTAAATCTTCACTTGTTTCCTTCTGCCAATTTTTGTGACATCTTTGTTACTGTGGCAGGTGATGAGCTATGATTCGCACACCAATAACGTAATGGCAGTTGGATTTCAATGTGATGGAAATTGGATGTATTCGGGTTCTGAAGATGGCACAGTGAAGATTTGGGATTTGAGGTACAGGAAGTTAAATTTTGATAATTCCTTTTCTCTCTCTTTTTTTGGATGTTGATTTTACTGTATGTTTGAGCCCCATTTTTGTCAAAAATAAGTTTTGTAATAGTAATTTTTTGGAGAATGTGTGGTTAAAAGTAAGGAAAAGTTTTAGGCTTACATGCAAAATTATTTTATTGGAAGAATGTGTGGTTGAAAATGAGTCTCGGAAAGAAATGAGCGTTTAGAGAATGGGGGTCAAACAGGGTTTAATCTTCTCTCTCGCGCTGGATGATGTAGGGCTCCAGGTTGTCAGAGGGAATATGAAAGTCGTGCTGCAGTTAATACTGTTGTTTTGCATCCAAATCAGGTGATCTGTAACAATGTCTTTCTTTATTTTAATGGATTTATATTTTGGCAAAAAATTATAAATTCTTTTTAAGTTTGTGAGAAGTGAATTGTTTCCAGATTAACAGTGTTAACTCACAATGCATTGTATTTTATGATTCTCAATTTAGTTTACTGAGGGCCTGTAGAATTGAAACTGGCACTCTCTCGTGTCATATGTTCTTTGCAATTCTAGTTACCTGTTCCATATATTGTGTTTTCAGTTATTTTCTTTCTTTCTACGTTGGAAAATTAATGGGTGAATTGATCTTTCAGGCTGGTATTTAAAATGGACACACATATAGGTTTGCCACTATCTTCACATGGGTTTAAATGGAAGATATGGTGACTTGAATAGACTATAAAATTGCATTTCTATGGTATTACTATAATGTGTAATCATGTTTCCATGGAAAAAATTTTTACGTGCCCAAGTGTCAGCTAGATTTAGCCTTTTTTAGATTCAAAAGTTGATTCATTCCCTTATATTCCTTTATTGATTTACAGACCGAGCTGATATCTGGGGACCAAAATGGCAACATTCGTGTCTGGGACTTGACAGCAAATTCATGCAGCTGTGAATTGGTAAGTTGCTAACATTTTGCCTGCAACTGTATACGAGTTACACATTAAACTTGGCATCATCTTTCATTCCTTAAATGATTGCAAGTTTTTACTTGGGTTAATTATATAAACCTCTCCTTCGGTTATACATTATATTGAAAGATCATGAATTTGTATTTCCTGAGTCCTCCCCTTGAATTATCCTTTTCCATAACATACTTTCCCTTTGACGATTATCATCACATGTTATTTTCCAGTGCAAGGAAGAAAAATGTAATGACCAGAACCACAGGGTGTCTTATAGCATATTTGGAAAACCTCGGGGGTGGTAATTGTGATAAACCTCTCAAATAAAATTTGCAGTAGAATACACTTTAAAAGCAAAGGTGTAATCAGGGTATTTTCTTGAAATCTTTTCATTATGAGGCAGACTTGACTTGATTGTAGTAATTTATCATCTCATAAATTGTGAAGTAATAGCTTTTTCTCGTACGGGGTGGTGGGCCAATTCGATAATCTTTAAACTGTATTTTCAGGTTCCTGAGGTGGACACAGCTGTACGATCTTTGACCGTGATGTGGGACGGAAGCTTGGTAGTGGCAGCAAATAATCGTGGGACATGTTATGTTTGGCGCTTGTTGCAGGGGACCCAAGTAACATTTAGATGCATTTAGATCTTTTCTTTGACATGGGATCTGCAACGGGCAATTTGATGTGATTTTGCATTCTATTGCAGACAATGACCAACTTTGAGCCTCTTCATAAGCTGCAGGCTCATGATGGATACATCCTTAAATGTCTCCTTTCCCCCGAGTTGTGTGATCCTAATCGGTTAGAAATCTAATACTGCCTACAAGGCACTCGTCGTCTCATTGATTTTTCCTTAAATTGATTTGGCTTTTCTTGCTTTAATCTTCTCCAAAAGTAGTATTTTGTTATCCAGATGTGAAACCTGCTTTTCTCACTCTACTTTTTAAAAATGCGATTCTAGGTATTTGGCTACCGCGTCTGCTGACCATACTGTGAAGATATGGAATTTAGACGGCTTTACCTTGGAAAAGACACTAGTCGGTATAAATCAGATCCTCACTTTCTGCTGCAACAGGTCTTAAGAGCATGTTTGGCTAAGCTTAGAAAACTTAGCTTATAAGTAAGTATACTTATAAATAAATAAGAAATTTATAAAATAAATATTTCTTCTACTATTGATCAAGGTTAGAAATTACTTTGTTTTGACATTGTGGTAAGAGCTAATTCCAAAATAACTTTTATTGCTTGAAGTATAAAGCAACATTAAATGTGTTGGAAACAAAAAAATTAAGTAGAAGTAATTTGTACTTTTTCTTAAGCTTGGCCATCCATGCTTTTAATTATGTAATTCTGTTCATCATTCTTTATTGTTGATCTTGATGAGTTTTCAGGGCATCAGCGGTGGGTTTGGGACTGTGTTTTCTCGGTGGACGGTGCCTTTTTAATCACAGGTGTGCTTTAGAAGCATCCAAATCTTTATGTAATGGATAGTACTTAAGCTATGATCTTGCTTACAATTAGACTTTTAGAAATATAATGTTTTTAATATGTTTGGTGAGGATCAAACAACACTCGATGCTATTAAGAAAGAAAAAGAAGCTAAAATCTTGTTAATTATATTGTTCAGTCCCATCTTACAAGCATGTACTTAATGGATACTGGCAGCATCCAATTGGAAAATGATCTTATATTCTATGAACTCTACTTGGGGAATGGACCGGTTAAGACCCTGGTACTGGTTACCCGTTACTAATGAACTGGTGTATCGTTTGCACTGTTATTATGATAACCTAGTTGACACTGTAATGATTCTATGTTTCTAACATCATCAATCATAAGAAACTCCGTCTGCAAAATTATGTCCTGATACGCGAGGTGGTCTGTGAATATGAAATTGTGCTAAATATGATAGGTAACTACACAATTTCATCTTATCTTGGCACTCAAAATTTCTGCATTATGCAGCTTCCTCTGATTCAACAGCAAGACTATGGTCCATGTCTAATGGTGAGGAAATCAAAGTCTATCGTGGGCATCAAAAAGCAACAGTTTGCTGTGCTCTTCATGATGGGACCGAACCTTCTTCGTGCTGAACCTAGATGGCATGTTTGGTGTACTGCATACCATGCAGTTCAATGAAAGGGATTTTGGCTTCATTTTCATTTTAAATATTGTTAGACTAATCCCTCACCAAACATGCGAAGAATGTACTTCCTCCATTAAGTGAAATGTTCCAATACAATCCTGAGGCTAAACTCCTTACAGAATGTCTTTTACAAGTTAGATTTGATTTCAAATTTCACCGGTTCACTTGTATGCTTGTTTTTGTGAATATGGCATGTTTCAACTTATTTTAGTTTGACTGTTTAACAGCACAATTTGTTAATAACTTTTTTTGATCACATCGACTTATTTTCTAGTTCAGTTTATATGCTCACTGATTTTTATGCTGTAATGTGAAGCAGTTGTTATTTGGCAAATGTGGCATTTTCTTTCCTTTTTTATTTTTAGTAGGGACTAATGATGGATGCTCCGTCTTTACAGCCATCCATCGAACCTAACAAGACGAAAAGAATCGTTCATTTTAAGGGTCAGTCAACATCCATATGAATACCATGCAAGAAACTAATGAAAATCACTCTATACAAAAATCAAGCACAAGCAAGTCATCTGATCTTGTCGAGTACCCTAAAGATTCTTCCCTTTGGCTTTGATGGGATGGCCTAGGCAGATCGTTCCGACTGAGTGAACTGAATCAAGATTTGCATGAGAACCGTGACAGTTGCCAATCCCATTGCTGAAAAAGATAGACCTTTCCGCGACGATAGAAGTGACGACGTCAGGAAAAATTTATAGGCCCCGAATGTAGGCAAACTTGCCCAGGAAATAACCACCTGTTATGGCAGGAGAAAGAAAAGTAATTAAATGTCGTAGAGAACCAGTGGAATCCATATGAATGAGATCCCAGAATTCTTGCATATACCACAAGGGACTTGAGTGGCCGGCCGGTATCTTGCAATTGTTTCCCAAAGGAATTACCAGCTATATGCTTGTCCAGTAACTTATCCTGGTTAGAAAAATGCAAATAGAAAAACTGATCACGATAAATTACTCCTCTGAGACACGATATATATTCTTTTTCAGTGAAGTGTTCTTCAAAATGACAAAAAACATGTGAAAATTAGTGAACATCAAAACTGGGATTTAATAATGTAGGACACACCTTGGCTACAAAGGCATCCCTACACCATTGAGCAACAGCATCCTCTGTTTCTGGCAAATCCTTCATCAAGTGCCTCCTGAGGTGCATATGAACCTGAACGATATAAAACAGGAGGTTGCCTCCAAACGACATTTAACAGCAAATTCTTAGCTTTTTGAGGCCATGCTCGAGTATCAGACGAGGCTTACAACAGAAGATTGCTCTTTAAATAGTCTTAGCATGGTGGGCGCAGGCGAAGTTTTGGGAATAGCAACAGTAACATCTTAAATAGCTGGAACAAATAAGTGCATCTGACTTACTGCTGTTACAAACCCTGAAAATTGCAATGTACATCAAAATGGTGAATAAAAGTGAGCATTTTGAATAAATTACAGCGCTGAAGGACGAAACACTGCCAGAAAAACATGCAAAACCGGAACACAACCACCAAGGCAAATGAAAGTACTCCATTTCAAGTTAGAATAGAAGATGAAAAAAATTGTGTTGTAGCATTGAGTAATGAGAAGTTCCATTAAAGTTTCTTCGAGATGTTGACACATCTGATTAAAGATGTTGTTAAATGGCTATATTATGTCGTAATTGCACTCATCAACAGACCAGTATGAGGCAGGTCTATAATTCATCAAGAGACTAAATGTCGAAAATTCATTTTTTTTATGTCTTGATGACAGCAAGAGAGAGAGAAATAAAATTACACTGAGAACAACAGAATAGCAGGAGAGGTAACAATTGTTTTATTGTAGAAATAGGCATGGCCAGAAACCTTTGTACGAGGAATCAAAACATGTCTTGGAATAGGCAGTCCTGTTGAGGTTGCATATTCTTGAGCAGCAGTACCCTCAACAAAAAATGCCAACCAGAAGGGGAGTGGGAAATCCCTTAACCGTTGAAAACCTAACTGCAATAGATTTCAGGAAAATCAGAAGTTCTTAGAAGCAAGAAATTGAAGAGAAATACACGGTAGTATAGAAAACCGAAATTAAATTTTTTTTTATCTTTGACCATATTATACCATAACTTTAAAGTGCTTTCATCCTTGGCCCAGCTTCTTTCAAGAAAGAGGTATTCAGAAAACCACATAGATCATCCTATCACCTGCGTAATGCAGATAACAATATACTCATTCCCATGTCTTACTCTACCAGGGCATCCAACAAAAGGCAAGAATAACAACTTAAGAAAATGTAATAGATAGAAAAGAATAGAATAGCTGAGCAGGGTAAACTTGGCATTTCTATTTGCTCAGTCATCAGTTGATAAGTACATAACTACGAAAACAACAAAATTCGCATTAACTTCTTTCTAAGGGCAAAATTATGAATTTAAAGAAAAATCTTATAATATAAATTCCAGAATGTTTAGGAATCAACTCCTTAGTGGGGGCTGTAACATAAAATACGTACAGAACCTTCAACCTCACAATACCCCAGCAAAAAATAGTTAATAAAAGGTTAAGCTGTTAGGGGACCAAATGTATATCATTTATATATTAACTTCAACTCATCCCGTTAGGTGGGATTCATTTTTCCCATCAAAGCTTTACTCATGTAAATTTTTAAATAAAATGGATGGTGATGAGACTTGAATCCAAGATCTTTGCTGTTTAGATATCATGTTGAACTTATTGATCTAAAAACTTAAATTGTTAGAGAGAAACATGTATATCATTTATTTATTATCTTCAACATAATGTAGAAGAATCACTGTGTTGAAACACTAAAAGTGCAGCCCAAATCAAATAACTCAAAGAGTGAAGCCCAATTGGGGAATCCAGGATAAAGGTCCAAACAGAATTATTGATGAATGCGGTGGAAATTCACGAACACGGTAACATCATCGCCCAAGCTTGCAAGACGCCCAGAATCTGAGCGAATGGAGTACCTTACCGTCGCCCAGAGCGATGACCCGTTCTCGCCCTAACATTCGAATCGTCCAGGATCTTAGCAAGCATAAAACACTATGATTATCCAGAATAGCAGTTATTGAAGCAGTTATTGAGTGATTTTATCACATCCACGATTTAAGGAGCCCAGTTGAAGGCGGTTGAACGACAAAGAGTAATGACAACAATTAAAGACGGCAGTTCCACGACAAGTTAGCCACTATAAAAAAAGTGGGTAGTTATACAGCAATCAAACAGTTTCCAAGCGGTTTGTCACGAAGAAATTATTAAGGGAATATAAAAGGAAGAGAAGACATAGAGAAGAAAAAATGAAACAAACACTCTCAAATAGAGAATATGTAATTTCGATTTCTTAGTTTAAACTTAAACACTTCTTTTAGTACTTGTGTGCTTGCGCCCCTTGGAGGCATTCTGTTTATTTTCAATTGTAAATCATCGCCAATAAAACACCTATTTTTGGGACTTTGTCTCAAGAGGTCTATTCCTTACACAATCGTCTGATCCCTTTTAAATTGTTAGCGACTACCCGCGTGAAATACACTGCCAATTTAATGATTCGTTTTACTATCTTTAGCTATTTTCATCATATTCAGTTCTAATAAAGATGAATTAGGGGAAAAAGAAATTTCAAAAAGAGACATAGTGTCGTGGAATTTAAATTGTCCACATTACAACCAATTTCTCTTCCGTCAGCTGTCATGCTACAGAGTAATATATTGCCACAGTATAAGCATTCATGAAGCTCGTCTAGAACAAGGCAGAAAAGAACTTTATTGGCTTGATTTGTTTAAACTTGCTTGAACAAATACGAGCTATATTTGGATTTTCCTTCTAGGTTTACTGACTGAATCACTTGACTAACAACATTGAACCATAACAAAGATCACATCTTCAACTTTAGCATTGTCACAACAGAAGTGAACATTGGATACTTACTGGAAGAAGCTTTGAAGATTTTTTTACAACAGCTAATGAGCTACCAAGGCAACCTGATCTCTGTCTTTAGAAGATCAAATGATCAATTTACAGATGCTCCCTGGCAATGATAATAATCAAGAGCCAACTTAAATCCCTAGCATTGCCAATAAAATTGTACTTTTATCTGCTTTTCTTAGCATGCACTTACAAATTAGGTTATAAAATTGAAATTGCATTGAAGAAATAAAATTATGTATTGAATTATATTCACACTTTACAAAGACCTGCTATATCTTATTTATATTACAAGACATGGACAAGAAAAGGAAAATAAATCAGCTAACTATGGAAGTAATTTCTCCTTCCATATATCCTAAACCTATAATTGATAGAATTTTCCATAAATAAAACTTTCCATATATTCGATTTCCTACAATCCCCCTCAAGTTGAACTGTAGATGTTGATCATATTCAACTTGCTGTTGAGTTCATCGAAGATTTGTCGAGGCAATCCTTTGGTGAAGATATCAGCACTCCGTTCCTTTGTAGGGACATAAGTCATACAAATGGTTCCATTGTCCACATTTTCTTTAATGAAGTGTCTGTCTACCTCCACGTGTTTGGTTTTGTCATGTTGTACTGGATTGAGTGAAATGTTGATTGCTGCTTCATTATCACAATACAGTTTGATTGGACGTTCCATGTCAATTTTCAATTCTTTTAAAAGTTTCTTTATCCATAATCCTTCACATATGCCTTGTGCAACTGCTCTAGATTCAACTTCAGCACTGCTCCTTGCTACTACATTATGTTTTTTGCTTCTCCAAGTAACCAAGTTTCCCCACACAAATGTACAGTAGCCAGTGGTAGATTTCCTATCTTCAATTGATCCTGCCTAGTCTGTATCAGTGAATACTTCTACATTTTTCATTTTATTCTTTTCGAATATTAACCCTTTCCCTGGTGTGCTTTTCAGATATCTGAAGATTTTATATACAGCCTCCAGGTGAGCCTCTTTGGGAGAATGAATATGTTGACTTACCATGCTGGCTACAAATGCAATGTCAAGTCTAGTATGTGAGAGATAGATTAACCTACGAACTAATCTTTGGTATCCATCCATTTCCACTGGGTTTCTTGCATTCTTTATTTTTCTTATCTCAATAGGTGTGTCGCTTGGTCTGCATCCTAGCATGCCAGTTTCAATCAAGAGGTCAAGGATGTATTTTCGTTGTGAGACGCTAATACCCTTCTTTGATCTTGCAATTTCCATCCCCAAAAAATACCGTATTTGTCCTAAATCCTTTATTTCAAATTCAGTGGTTAAGTA